CGAAATAAAATTGTTCGACCCTTACTAATTTTTATTACTTTCGAAGCCAATTTATACACTTCTGCATGAATTTTTTACTACTACAAAATTGCAGCAGTTTTATTAACGTGCTATCATGAAACTGCTCTTAATAAATAAAATTGTACCAATAATTTACATTTATTTCAAGAGTTGGGAAAATTAATGCCTTAAATACAATTTTATATTTTTAATAAATTAAAAAAATTTTTTTCATGTACTTAATTAATGAGTACTAATGAAGTTAATGAATTACTAAATGAAATTATATTCGCTAATATTAATTTTATAGTCATCTTTCTAAGTAATTTTGTAACATGTTTCTCCATAACTGTTAAATACATCTGACTAAATTTTTTTTTCAAAGTACCCAGCATTTTTTTTGTAATTTTTCCCAGCTGCTCTGATAGTGTGCGTGATACAAAATTAAAGAACTCTAGAGAAATTTAAAAGAAATTGAAATATATATTTTTAGGAATATTAAAGCTCTATTTTGATTTCATTTTTCACATCCCTCAGAAATAATTAATATATTCCTTAAAGTTGTATGTATATATATATATATATATTTGAAATTGTGATTTTTTTTTTTTTAACTTCACAATTTAAAACCCCCATAATACTCATTTATCTTAATGTCTATATTCCTAATATGTATATTTACAATCTATAAATTATATAATGGGTAATATATATTCATAAAAAGATGTGTCCATAGTAATAATCTAGATTCACAAAATTTAAAATTCAGGATTTAAAAAAAGAAATTTTTGACAGTCATTTATAAAATAATTTATGGGTGTTAACCTTCTTAAAGAGGTAATGGAATTATATATATATATAATTAAAAACAGAATATACACAGTAGCCATGCTTTTATACATTCTTTATCTTTCCATGTTTAAATAGTCTGATTTCATTTGTTTTAAAATAAATAAGACAATGGATTTTTGTTTAGTTTTGTTAAAATATTAGTACTTTTAAATTTCTCGATAGAGATATACTTAATTGATTTGTAGCTAAGTATCTCCAAAGGGACAGAATAGTTGAGTTATATTAAACAAATTTCAAGAACAATTGAGGTCACCTATTTTTCTTATAAATGAGTTCTTTCAGTATCTTTGAGGGAGAAAATCAAATAAATGAGAGGTGTTCACACACACAAAAACGTGTCAAGCGATTTTAATATGTTTATCAAAGATGATTTAACGTTTTTTTTTTTTTTTTATTTCGTTTAAAATAAATGTCATCCTGTTTTATTAGATCAAATTTGTCTCAAAAGCTTAACATCTACTTATATGATTAAAAGAAAAATCAATAGAATTAAAAATTATATGAATTGTTTCATGCAACCGAAAACTGGTGTAATTTACACATTACTATTTTGTTACAGAAAATATAAACATTTTAAAAAAATTAACTGATTCATTGATACAGAATTTGGTGAAAGATCCAAAAGGCTAGATTTTTTGTCAAAATCTTGAGAGGAAGAATAAATAAAAAAATTTCTTCTCTAGCTATAATTTTTATAATTTATCATACATTGAGTGAAGGAACATGTAATTTTGATCATTCAATCTTCACAAATTTTTCATTGTTAGAATCTGAGCACGAAGTGATATTCATATTTGCACCAAAAAATAAATGCATAGAACATGCATAATTGTGTGTGTTTTTTAACTGTTTTTTTCTTTAATTGCATGCATGTTTTTTTGTTGTTTGCGACGAAAAAACAGATGAATGTGTTTTCTTCGTTTAGCGTCAGATTTTTTCACAAAAAAGCAAACGAATGAAATAGCCATTTAGCGAATACATCCGGCTGTTTGTGTTGTCCGATTCAAATGCCACACCCGATATGTATTGTAATTTTGAACTATCAACTCGTTATTTCCTGTAGGTAATCACTGCACTTATTAAAAGGTACATGGAAGTGTCATTCGTTGTATGGGTAAATAATGAAATCAGCATTTGGAAAATGAACCCATATTCATCTGAAATCTTATTATAGTTAAGCGCTTGTGTCAATTCTTTGTCTATGATAATTTTTTATTTGAAATTGAAAGGTTCGAATCCATTACCCCTCGATTACGAATTCAGCGTAACGATTACCGCCAAGTTGCCATAATTCAATTATTCCTAGTATTTACTGATGGTGATTATCTCATGGCGAAATACTAAATATAGTCATGTGTGAGTTTTTAGTTCGGTTGGTTTTGGATGCTCGCGTAGCCACACAAATGGTGAAAGTTGAAAGTGCAATACCGACTTAGATAATGAGTAGTTCTAATATGAATGACTGAACAAAATAAGACTTTTTACTTAAAGTTACTCTGGATTACTAATGACCCTTTTGAATAATAATCTCATAGGAAATTTCAGGAATAATGATTTCTTTTAATGGCAATCAAAAACGCGCTTAATTCGAATCTTAAAGTTTTTCTTTAAATTCTGAAGTATAAATTTTTGGTATGCTCAGTTTTGATGACAAAATCTTGTGTTCAGAAGTGAATATCAGTCGAGAATAATTAGTTTCGAAAGTGAAAAAAAAAAAAAAAAAATTCTAGCAGAAAATGAGTGATGATGTTAATGAAAGTGCAAAAGTCAAAAGCAACTCTTCTGAGGTTTTCTCTGGAACACTTTCTCTTCAATCTCAAGTTAGTAAAATTAGTTATTAAACAATAAAATTATTTAATTTGTTTCCGATTTCTTTGGATTTTTGTGATTTTAACTAAGAAAGTTGTATTTTTAAGTGTGGTGTTCTAAATTTAATTACTTAAATTACCGAAATATAAGGAATTTCGAGATTTTTTTTTTAAATGTTATTAAAAATTCTATCACAAATCATTTTCCTCCCCTTTTTTTAGGAAATACCTTTCGCTCATTTTGCCCATCATTGCAATTTAAAAGAAGTGTTAAAAGTGATGATTGATGAATGGAATTTACAAATTCCTAAAATAATGGTTATACTGGTGTCTGATAATGCTTCATTAAGTGGTTGGCCTGATATTAAAGAACAAGAACGATTTGTTAAAGGCTTGATTAAGGTAAAATATATTAGAATTTCAATTTTAAGTAACCCATTACTGTCAAAAATTTACTAATATTATACTTAGTTATTAAAATGAATAGTAAAAAAAATCTATATATATAATATTATAGTTTGTTCCTTAACAATAATTTTGAATAATTTAAAGAAACAATTTAAAAATCTGATCTGTGTTAAAAGTAATTACTATGCAATAATTAATTTACCATAAATATAGAATAATGTAATATAATGTTGTATGTAATGTAATGTTAAATAATGTACTATAAAATTATGAAACATTACATTTAATAATTGAGCTGTGTGTTATAAGTATGAGTTTTTATAGATTAAATAGTATAATATTTATATGCTTTTATAAATTAACCAATAATAATTCTGCTAAAAGTTATATATATAAATACTTTCTCAATCTGATAACCTTGAAGAAATGGTTTAGGTTACTTGTTTTAAGGGTTATGTGCGAATTCCATAGAAAGCATTAAATGTTTTTTTTTATTTTCAAAGTGAGCTTATATTGTTTTTGTTAATTGATTGCTAAAACCCAAAGATTAATAAAATCAATTAATTTTTATATCTAATTATATATAAAGGAGTAGAAGAATTATATAATAATACTTATTCATTTTAAGCATATATTTCCTTGCTGCTTATGATTTTTTGATTACTGTACATAATTGTATTACTTTTACTAGAGGTAAAATATTTATATTAACTAAGCAATTTATTGTTTTATAAGTTTTAATCTGTTGTAACCAAAATGAATTATATAATCCAAAATTAAAATTATTTCCAAGATTTTATAACTGAATTCCCATAATTAGTCTTTGTATTAATATTGAACATTCATAAAACAAAGTATTTTTAAAGTTTATTAAGTCTATCAAAAGAATACACTGAATTCTCTTAAAATGCTCTTTGTGAAAGGCTTGAGATTTGTATTATTTAGCACTAAATATTGAAATGTATTTGATTATTTCTAGGCTTCAAATGCAACAGCAATGTGGGTTCTCACTAGTGGTTTGAACATAGGTTTATCTAAAATGATTGGAGATGCTTTTGATCTTGATTTTAAGAAGCGTTATGCCCAGTTTTGTTACAGTCAATCTGAAGAGAATATAGAAATAAAGAAAACTCCTCTTATTGGTGTATGCAGGGACACTGTTCTTACTTACTATGAAGACTTTAAAAATTTAGTGGGTGTTAAATATTTTATTTTGTTGTTGCAATTATGATGTATAAAATTTTTTTGGTAGTTGTGGGTTTTAGGGATCATGAAGACAATCTTTTAAAAAACTTGCCAGATTCTGTTTCATCATTGTGTTTGTAATAAACGTAGCTTACTGAATAATATAGCCAATGTTTTTGTTTGCAATAACTTGGAAAAGCAGTTGACAACACATTTTCCCTACAATGAATAGATATCATAATTTCATGGCTTAAATGTTACATGGTTGGTGTTTCTTGGCTTATATAAAACTAAAAAAATTTGTTGATAAATATTTAAAAAAAAATATATAACATTTATTAACACACACATAATTAAAAAAAATACAAATGATGCACTTATTCTTTGAAATTGTGTGTGTGTAAATAAACTAGATACAAATAATGCTACGAAATTCACTACAAATAAAAGAAGTTTATGGGTAGACATAAATAAACCAACATTGAAATGTCTAGTAGCATCTTTAAAAATATGCTGAATTGGTTCATTGCTATATTGAAATAAAGTTATTTTGTTATTCAAAATAATGTATTACAATATTAATTTTAAAATTATTTTCTAACAAACTTTCTTATTACATTTTGAAAGAAAAATTATTGCAATGATTCCTTCGATATTGATTGCTTGTTCAAAGATAGCTTTTATTTAAGTTTTTGCAGTTTAAAGTAACTGGGTGTGATATCCTTTTTTTTTAATGTAAATTTTACTGCTTTTTTGATATAGTGGTTAGTAATGCTGACTGCTGTGTCATTGTGCCTGGGTTCAATTCCCAGAGAAAGCATGGATACTTGTAAATGTGTAGTGTCTTTCTGGCAGGGGGTTACTTTAAATGCCATCAAGCTGTAAGTCTTCTCATGAGGTTAGAGGCTCCTGACCTCCCCTAGGGTGTTCTCCCTCAGAACTGGAGTGTACCTGTCTCCTGTATGGTGCTCAAAGCTACGGCGAATTACATCTAGCCCTTTGCACTATGAATTTCGTGGGCCTCGATCTGACATTGTCAGACAGGTGGCATCGGAAACAACAATTCAACATTATAAATTTTATCATTAAATTTTTTCCCCTTTCTTTTTAAAAAAAGTATTATAATTAATGTTTTTTTTTTAGATTTAAAATTGATTAGAACATTAATTTTAACTAATAATTTTCCTTGTCAGATTTTTAAAGAAAATTTTTTGAATGTGATGATATATATTGTGATGTTTTTCTATGCATATGTCACATTTTATTAGTTAATAGTAAAGTATTTATTACCAAATCTATAATATCAATATTCTTATTTTTTATAGATGTCAGTTTATTATGAGGAGTTTGAATTTACATATTTCTGTTATTATCATATTAAAAGAAATTTTTCTAATTACAATTATAAGAAAGACAAATTAATTTTTTAAAAAGTAGATTGATTTTATATTCTTTTATTTTGTTTAAAACTTGTTATGTTGCACTAATACTGTATGTATATTTTTAAGGAGAAAAGAATTTTTCTCCAGAATCTTGGAAATAAACCTGATGAACATAAGTTTGATTTGAATGCATTCCACACCAATGTCCTTTTAATTCGGGACAGGACTGCTCATAAGAGTGGTGTCAATCGATTTCTTCTGAAGCTTGAAGATGCACTCAGAGGTTTTTATCAAAGCACTTCAGGCAAGTGTTGTTGTGCTTATGCATTTTGCTGAATATTTTAGTATGCTAATTTTTATGCTAAGAAAGTAATAGAAAATTATCTAATTGTGCATTGAGTAGTTTCCTTATTATACATACACACATTTCCCCCTTAAAACATAAAAATTATTTTAAAATTTTGAAATCGATGAGTAAGTAGTGGTATTTAATGATTTATTATTTTGTTCTAAACTTAAAATCAGCTACTATAAATCATAGTAATATATCTGAAACTCACTTTTGTATAGGTTTTAATTGTTTTTTTTAAAAATAAAGCATAATAAAAGAAATGGATTACAAAGCATTAGCTTTTAATTGTTAAAAACTATTCAAACAAAATGTTTTGATTGCAAAGTTAGAAATAATGTAATAAATTTAAATGCTTGAAAGCCAACTCTTATAATATGAAAACATTTTTTAAATTATATTTTCCTAATTCTAATTTTTACTCTCCTTCTAAGTTTTTGAATCAATTTAAAATTAAGTGATGAGTTTTTACTTATATCTTGGATTAGTTGTTTATAACATATTTTAAAAACTTTGCCTTTTTATTTTTTTAAAAAAAAAGACGTTTAAAATGACAAATTGAATTTATCTGATTGGTGTTCTCAATTATAGTAATTTGAAATATATTTTTGTATATCATGGACATGTACATACTACACTGCTGGCCACACAAAATGTGCTATAGCCTGAAGGAAGCATGCAAACTACGTGAAATTTACATAATGTGTTGGTGGCGATGAAATATGCTAATCATTAGCGTTATAGTGCAGATGCACATCACAGGCAACTATAGCGCCAACTGCAAGCTCTATGTATGGGGAGAACAGAATGGCAATTGTTTTTTCATGCATTTTTTTTTGCATAAGCTGTTAATCCATGCTTTGTGGAAGACATCGAGCATCTTTTTACCAAGTTTTTGAATTCGACCATGGGAAAATAGTAGCCTATGGGGATTGTGGATTATCCTTAAAAGAAATTGGTCAACGTGTTGGATGAAACCAAGTAACTGTCATCACTGGATGCAGGAGGAAATGATTGCACCCATCTCGTTGCACTACTGCCTGTGATGACAGGCCGATTGTGTGCATGGCAGGATCACGCAGCCACATCATGAACCATAGTACAACAAATTCAATCTGTTATGCATCATTTGGTGTCCACGTATCATTCAATGCCATTTGCAGCAGAGTGGAATGTCTGCAAGGCGTTCATTGTTTCATTTACCATTGACTGGAAACCACAGACATTTGCACCACCAATGGTGGGATGAACGGTGGAAATGGACAATGGAATAGAAAAACATTGTGTTTACTGACAAATCCTGCTTTTGCCTTCAATATCACGATACTCAGATTTGAGTTTGATGACACTGTGGTGGGAGGCTGCTGAACTATTGTGTTATGCATTGCCCACACTGGTTCTGCACCCAGTATAATGGTTTGGGGCTGTATTGGTTTTCACTGCTGCACCCTTTTAGTGCACATTGCCTGTACACTGAACAGCCAGCACTACATCTCTGAGGTGTAGGAGCTTGTGGTTCCCCCATACATTCAGCGCTTGCCATCAGCCATATTCCAACAGGGTAATGCGCAACCACATGTGATATGCAATGTTCAGGAGTTCTTCTTTATCCATCAGATTAAATTGCTTCCTTGGCCTCTTGTTCTCCTGATCTATCACCAATCGAAAACTTGTGGTCTATGCTTGCACAACGACTGGCCCAGGATACACTTGCTGCTACACCAGATCAACTTTGGCTTTATGTGGAAGCCGCATGGACTGCTGTACCCCAAGGATGCATCCAAATCCCCTCTGATTCTATGCTGAGGCATGTGGCTGCAGCTACAGACAAAAAGGATTGCTACACTAACTATTGATTTTGTTATAATCCACATGTCATTAGAGGCATAATAACATGAATAATACTTCACTTTACTGTGAACTGATCAATAAATCAGACTTTCCACAGTCTTCATCGGGCACCATTAGGAAAACATTAGAATGGGAGTAGGAGAGGAAAAAACTGAAAAGTATCAAGAAAATATTATTCCTACTACTAAAAATTTAGATTTATTGAAGAACCTGACAGTGAGTTGGATCTACGGCTTCTTTGTGTTGTGTGTGTGCATGTTCCAAAGGCTTATCTAAGGATGCACTAAAAACTTAATTCATAGAGACTTGAACTTAAAACACCCTGATTTAGAGAAAAAATCACTAGAATATTTTAAAAGAATGCATCAAAATATGCAAAAACAAGTTATTGTTTTAAGAAAAATGACCATGGAAGATAAATCATTACCAAAGGCTTTTTATCTCATGACAAATCATATCGCAAAATGTAAAAAGCCATACATGATTGATGAATAATTTATTAAGCTTTGCATGTTAAAAGCCTGTGAACAGATTTTGAGAATACAGGCTGTTCAGGAATTAAAAGTAATTCCTATGTTTGCTAATACTATCAAGCACAGAATCGAAGATGTGGCACAAGACATTGAAAAGTAGATAACAAAAATGGTGAAAAATTCATCAATTTATTCAATACAACTTGATGAATTTTACGAATGTTATATATATATATACAAAGCAAGAACTCCTTTGTTTTGTGAAGTTTGAGTATGATGGAGAGTTATATGAAGAACTACTTTGCTTAATTTGCTGGGTAGAACAACCAGCTCTGAGATTTTTGAAGTTCTTAATAGTTATTTCCAGGAACATGAAATTGACTGGAAAAAATGTATTGGGATATGCACAGATGGTGCCGCAAATATGACTGGTGTTATGTTTATGGGTTTCAAAATAATCAGCTGTATATTTACTTTTGAAATTAGTTTAATCAGGATATTCATGGCACAGTGCAATATACAAATATCTACAGATTCATTATATATACATTCTAATAGTTGGCATGATATTTTTATATATGAATACTATAGTTCAGTTGCAGTTATTAGTCTTGACCTGGTTTACAGTTAAATACACCACAACTGGACATCTTTCAGGAATTGCTGTAAAGGTGAATGTTGGTCACCCAGACATTTTACCTACACACTGCATTATACATCAAGAACAACTTGCAGTGAAAAAAATGTCTCCAGAACTACACGAAATATTATCGTCATGCTGAGGTGAGATGGCTGTCAAGAGGCAAAATACACTGACCCGCCGATTTGCTTTGCGAGACGAAGTCAAATTATTTTTCCAGGAACAAACTAATTCAAAGTTACAAATATTCTTGTCCAACAATGAATGGTTAGCAAAGCTTGTGTGTATGTGTGCATATCTGGCAGATATTTTTTCCCTGTTAAATGAACTAAACATATCCTTGCAAGGACAACTTAAAGACGTGTTCACACTATGAAGTAAAATGGATGCATTTCAAAAGAAAATATTACTGTGTGGCAAACGTGATTGGTTGAAGACGATCAGCAAATGTTTTCTAATTTTGATGAATACATTAAGGAAAATAATGTTAACCAGCAAGTAGTAACCCTAGTTAAAAAGCACTTGGAATCACTTACAGAATCTTTTGTTCTCTGTCTTACAGTAACAACTTTGGATCCAAGCATCCATAATTTTATTTCAAGTAAACAGGAACATCCATCTCACTAGGAATGTATAATACTAAAAGTTTGATATACTTAAACCCTTTTTTTACTTGTTTTGTTTTTACAGTTTTTGTTTATTCTATTATGGTTTATTAATAAAGCTTTCATAATTTGTTACTATTAATAGTTTCACTTTATTAACTTGGTACATTTTATGTGTTCTTAGATCACATTTTTTTATAAATATATTTAACACTTAAAAAGTTCTATTTAGTAGTTCACACTAGATTTAAATTAAGAATTTATTGGTTCATGAGGCCAAAAAGTTTGGCGACCACTGTCCTAAAGTACCTATTTGGCTTGGGTAATCTTGATAAAATTAAATTCCTAGTACAGTTTCACATTGTCAGAGCTCTGGGGCCTTACCTCTGGGGAGAAGACTGGGTGTAAAAATTACTCTGTAGCTACACTGTAGTAAAAATTACTATGCAAAATGGTGCCACACTAAAAAGTGATACCAGCTCCAGGGGAATGTACTAGGTTTGCAAAGTTAAATACCAAT